CTGAAGCATCGAGGCACAGAAAAATATAAAATAAAATTTTTGAGGTAGAACTAGATATAGTTTTTAACAAAATAGTAATAATTTAGTAATTATTTCACTTATTTTATGTACTAAATTCAATATAAGTTAGACACATACATGCATACACATACACAGAATTTCATCATAGGCTAGCAGTTAAAGGGCACTAATTTTCATAGTAGGGAAAACAGAACTGAAATATTATTCCTGCCATTTTCTAGTTATAACCTTTTCCCTAAGTAAGAATTTATTTAGGCTATTTACCTCAATTTTCTATTCTATAAAATGAGAATGATCAATAATTACTGTAATTTATAATATTATTTGCTTTTAAATGATGTATCTACATAAAAGAGAGGTAAAAGTCAAGGCAGTGTTGTCCAAGTTACATGGTTACCTAAAAAGTTTTAATATAAAATGAGAAAACCAAATAGGCTGAGTCATATTTAAAAAGATGATTGTATACAAAGCATGGTGCTAAAGCCATAGGCATGCTGAAATCTGGATCTAAAGTACTTAGTGGCTGGAAACTAGCCCTTTAGCATAATGGAGTAAAAATGAATATGAAATGGTCAGTCAGACCCTCCTTCCCCTTACTACTCCAACTGGCTGCCAAAAATTTTGACCCACTACTGCCTGCTATAGAAATTGAGAGGCAGAAAGTTAGAGATACATCTTAGGATCAAATGTTCTTAAAGAAATGAAGATGAGAGTTGCTGCTATTAAGATTTGGATTGGGCCTAGGAATTCAACAATCCAAATACAAGCAACTGTAAATCACTAGAAAGGGATGTGTGAATAAAGAAAAGGGGGAAAAGGAAATAAGAGACAAAACAAAAATGTCTTATGATCAACAGTAACTGTAAGATATTTTTTTTCTTTTTTTTTTTTTTTTTTCTGGTACTAAGGATTGAACCCAGGGATACTCGACCACTCAACCACTGAGCCACAACCCCAGCCCCTTTTTTATATTTTATTTAGAGACAGGGTCTCACTGAGTTGCTTAGCACCTCACTGAGTTGCTGAGGCTGTCTTTGAAAACATGATCTTCCTGCCTCAGCCTCCTAAGCTGCTGGAATTACAGGCATTTGCCAGCACATCACTACACCACTTCGTAAAAAAAAGTTCTAAAATATAGCAAGAAATCTAATGCTAAGAAAACCAACAAAATCAATAAGTAGAGCATTTACTCCAGATGAATTTGATTTTAAGAAATTAACTTGAGTATGTTTGAGATGCTAAGAGATAAAATAATCATACCTATAAAATGTTATTATTAGACAAAAATAGTAATAAAATAAGAATAGGCAAATAAGACAAATGAATCAGAAAATTTCAAAGGATGTTCCTTGACATTAAAGGTGCAATAATGGGGTAACCTAAAGTAGTTTCAAGAAGAGAATTGAGTTGAAAAGTAGTTTAAAGAAATATGTTTAGAAAAAAATCACAGAAGGTAAACTAGATTTTTAGAAAATGAAATAGCTGTTGAGATATGGTAAACTGATTAGGAAACATCCATATATATTTTATCAGAATTCCAAAAGAAGAAAATGGAGGTAAAGACAAAGAAACTATCAGGCAAAAGACAACAGCTTAGAATTTTGCAGAATTGGAGTGCTGTCATTCACAAGTATATCCTGAATACATGACTGGTAATCCTAAATAAATTTACAACCAGTCACATTTAAGAGAAACTACAAGACAAAGTCTTAAGAGCTTCCAGAGGAAAAAGCAGATTACATATAAATAGATAAGAATAGACTGATAGCAGATTTATCTAAGGTAAGAGTAGACAGAGTAAGGGTTACAGATAAAATTGAATATCATCTTCAAAATTCTGAACAAAAATATTCATATAAATTGTTATTAAAGATAAAATACAAAATAAAAGTTTTAGACATCCAAAAAGATAGTATTACCCAGGGTCCTCACTAAAAAAAGGGTAATTTAACAATAAAAATAACTGACCCCTGAAAAGAAGCTATAGGATTCAAGAGTAACAGTGGGCACAGTAATACCTAAGTTATGTAACTATATAATCAAGCATTGATTTCAGAAATCAATGATAACCACGTTTCCATATGATTAAAAACAAATAGATAAAACTAAAGCTCCAATAATTACATGGACAACATTGATGTTTAATAGGCAGATAAAACACCTAAGCATCTTATTTATATTAAGAGTGTCCAAAATATTAAAAAGTAGATTTTATTTTTATTAGAAATATACATAATTAAAATACATATAAATATTTTATAATGAGCATTACAGAAACAACTAAGCCACCTAAACATTTCAAGACCAACAGTAAAATATAGATACTAGATAAAATCATAAAAGAAATTTCAAAAGACTTTTTTCTCCAATTAAAACCACATAAAACACATTTTCTCATTGCGATGCTGTATTTTTTCCCCACCTTTTGGTACTATGGACTGAAACCAAGTTTGCTTTGCATTGAGCTATGTCCCAGCCTCTTTTCTTTAACTTTGAAACAGGGTCTCATTAAGTTGCCCAGGCTGACTTGAACTTTGGATCTGATGCTTTGCCTCAGCCTCCTGAATAGCTGGGATTTTAAATATGAGCCACACTGCCCAGCTTCATTACAATGCATTTAAATTTAGAATCAATAATAAAAATTGAGCAAATATGTTTAGAAAGCAGAAAATACACTTCCAAGTAACTCAAACATTAAAAACAAATTATAATGGTCAATAAAAACTATTTAAAATATAACAAAACTATACATCAAAATACAATATACAACCAATGAGAAACTTAGAGTTCATTTTAAAAGCTACTAACACTTATTGAAATAAATGAGTAATAATTCAACTCAAGAATCTAGAAAAATAAAAATGATCTAAAATTGTTATAGAAGAACATATGCTGATAAAAGCAAAAAGTAATGCCATAGAATACAAAGAAGAAAATAGTGTGAATAAGCAAAATCAAAACCAGTTTTTGAAAAAAGTAAATGAAATATAAAAATATCTATCAATTAGTTAAAGAAGGGAGAAGTTTCAGATAAATAATATTAGGGATAATATTTTTACTACTTTAATCTCTAATTATGAAGCCCCTCTTATTGCTAGGTAATCCCTGTAGTGTAAAAATGGCTTCAGAATTATAAAAAACTGAAATGTTACTCAATTTACTTTAAAATGCTAGTATCACCACAACACCAAAATTCTTCAATAATAATTTTTAAAAATGAAAATTAAGAGATAATCATCAATGCAAATATACTATGTAAAATGTTAAATGTAGTCAATGGGCAGAAAGAGACATTACAAAAATATCAATTTTCCTCTCAAATTATTCTCTAAAATTGATGTAATTACAAATAAAATTCAGCAGGGCTTTTGACAAACTTGACTGACTCTGAATTCATATCAAATAGCAAACTGCCAAGAGGAGCTAAGAGAATTTTAAAAAGGAACAAGGTAGAGATATCTTCCTCAACAATGCAAGAATATTATAAAATAATGGTAACCACAGCACTATGGTATTAATATAGGGATAGAAAAACAGTACAATGGATGAAATAAAGTTCCTAAATATAAAGTGCAAAACTTAAAAACTGTTAGAAGAAAATATTGGAAGTTTGCTTTATGACCTTGGCATATGGAAAGATTTCTTAAATGACATAAAAGTACAAACCATAAAGGAAAATATCAATAACCATTAAAATTAGAAGTTTTTAAAACATTAATGTTATTAAAGATACATTTAAAATACAAACTACAAATTTTGGGAAAAGATATTTGTCCTCTCTAAGGCCCAAAGGAAAAAGAATCTGGAATACTATAACAACAACTGATGCCAAAACAAAACAAAGCAAAAACCTTCAAAATAGTGACAGCAAAACTAATAACTCAATAGAAAAATAAGCAAGAGACATAAATAGGCAGCACATAAGAGGAAATCCCAATAGCTTATAAATGGAAAAAAAGACACTAATCCCTATTAAAATGACAAAAATTTTTATATCTGACCATTTCAGATGGGAAATCGCTCAGATTGCTAATGAGAATATAAATTGGTACTATCCTATCACTTTGAAGAGAATGTTTTAATACCTAGTAAAATTCAAAAAATGCGTATTTCTTAATTTTTAGCAATCCCACCTTGCTGTATATATATGCATAAAAATATTAATTTGTTTGTCAACAGAAAACATTGAAAATAGTGTCCAACAATGAGAGAATCAATAAATTAATTTTAGTAATATAAGTATAGCATGTAACTTACATAAAACTAACTCATGATAATAGAGATCAGAATAGTTTTGCTTGTTTTTAACTTTTTGTTAAAGCTTTGGAGAATATCAAGTAGAAGAGAGCACAAGGACTCTTCCTAGGTATTATAAATGTTCTATATCTTGGGTTTGGTATTGTCACATAGGCATTATCTTAAACTCATCAGTCTACACATTTAGTTTGTCACACTGTAAGTAACTTAGGATGGAATAATAAAGGATAGAAACATATTCAGAAACAAATATTCCAAATAATTAAAATTTTTTGAACCTGGGTTCTGGATCCTTATATTTCATATGATTCTTTATACTTTTATGTGTTTGAAATATTTTGTGTTAAAAAAATATATTTTTTTAAGACAAAGACTGCAGTAGTGTCATCTTTTCTCTACTGTCACTAACAATAGATCCCAAGTAATAAGTACTTCACAGCAAGTATATTTACAAAGTGAATCAAAAGCAAAAGTTTCAATTCATTTCTTAGCATTGTATAGAATTTTAGGCTTTCTTAAACAAGTGACCAGAAGCGTATGTTATTGATATAGACAGATGCTACCACTACACAAAGATCATCTATTTAAGTTTTTCAATTGATGATATCGGAGATGCATTGCCAAGGTCTTTTCTGAGATAAATCAACAGGTGAATTGGCATTAATATTTCTGTTTGCTCATGGGTTTCACCTCTGGTTTCTGAGAAGAAAAAGAGACGATACCTTTTCAATGCTGCATTTCAAGTTGACCATATGGAAAGCAAGGTTTTATTCCAGCCAATTCTCTCTCTCTCACAATGTGGAGGAAAAGTGCCAGCCACTGCTACTCTTGCCACCAGCCACGGTACAGATGTTTGGAAAATGCAAAAACAGAGAAATGAAACAAAAAGAAAACCCTCAAAAATAAGTTTTGCATAAATTAAAAATAGAGTATGTAATTATCATAGCTGTGATAAGGTAAATGCGTATTTTATTTTCTTCTGGTGTTAAACAAAAAGAACCTAAACAAACAAACAAAAACATTGATGTTTTGACTTAATCAGTGTTTTGTTGAAACTAACAATTACAAGGACCAATTCAAACATAGCTAAAAGTGGGGGAAATAAACACAGATTTCTGCTAATCTGATAATTTTTTTATCTCCAAGAATGTTAGAATATGACCTACTTAAGTGAATACTTATTAAAAGAACAGACCTATTTAAAAAAATGTTTTCATGTACAAGATGGTAAAAGAATAAATGTTTCATTGAAGTCTTTTAAAAGAAAAAAAATAATTGAAATAATAAAGATTCCTTACACTACTCAGATAAAATACAACTAAGAAAAAAAAAATCTTCAGTCTGTTCAAATGTACATTCCTTAGCTTAGCCGGTACCAAGTCCTAGTTACTGTAACAGCAACTGCCCTATTAGACTTAAGCACACCAATGCAAATTACTGAAATGAGACTTTGTTTAAAAGAAAGGTTTAAAAATGTAATGTAATCTCTGAGAGGTGTTGCATGAATTGAAAGTCAGCCCTTGGTTTTAGGCCTTGCTTTGCCACAAGCCTATTGTATATGTTGGTTCATTTTATTAAATATCTTTGGGTCTTAGTATCCAGATTTCTCAAGTCAGAGTGTGATATAAAGTCAGTCTGCTCAAAACGCTTTTATGCCCGAAATTTCTATGAATCCAATGAATTTACTTTAGTATAAGAGGTGTTTTCCTTCTTTTCTTACTTTCTTAAAATAAATACATAATCAAATAAGTAAATAAATATTAAAAGCACAAGCATACACACTAATTAGCTCTCCCCTGAATAGGAAGAGAACCCCCCCCCATTATCTATTTCCTAATGTGTATTTAAAAAGAGAGTTCCCATAAAAAAGACTTTTGTTTTTTTCTGAATCAAAAATAGCATATCATTTCTTTGCCATTTAAGTTCTATTAAGAAAGAAAACACAAAATCATTATGGAAATCCTATTAGGAACTTTAAAAAGAAAGAAAAAGTCAGTAAAACTCTATTTAAAATTCAAATTGCTCATTCACATATTTTCTTTTGAGAAACCTTCAATTGCTACCTCAAACTATCCTCACTTCCTTTTCCAGAGACAATGTCCTTAACTGTATCAAGAACTGGGCCCTCTTCTCACACTCTTTCCACCTGTCCTTTGAGGTAGTTGTTCCATAAAGCGGAGGTATAGATTACAGCATGAGATATTTGGGATGGGAGTAAAGCATTCATCTGGGAGACAGTATTGTGGTCAGTTTGCCAAGTCTAAAAGAAAATTAAAGCCTACACCACTTTGGCAAGAAATTTGGCTCTCATGGCTGAACAATGATAATCATTTTTACACAAGACTTTTAAAAATGAAAGCATCTGTGGCACTAGCCACAACTTAAGTCAGAGAATGAAAGTTTTTCATGTTAATATTTAAAATAGACCAGACAGCATCAGTGTACCCTGAACAGACCTGAAGGGTCTAAAAAGAATACAAGGCACCTGACACCCTGGTGAATAAGAGAAGCTCAGTATTATGAAAAGCCACAGTCTTAGGGCAAATGCTCCATTGTTCCAAGTGCTGATATCCTATGGCACCAACAAAAGCAGAATGCTTAGCAGGGTGGGCCATAGGCAAGCTCCTATTACAGGCTCCAGCCAGGCTCTGTAGGCTGATAAGGCTGGGACCCACTGAGGGTGGGTCCCCCAGGGGAGGAGGACTCTTCAGACAAGAGTCAACAGTTACACAGTGTGTGAGCACTCCCTGCTGGCAGCTGAGGTTGGGATGAACTAGCGAGGTCTTAGGGAGGGCTGCCTGAGGTTTCTGTGAGGGCGCTACCTACTTGCCTTTAAGGAGATAAGGGCATATCTCTGATTAGATTAAGATGTTCTAGATACTATGCCAAATGAGAAGTAGAGTAGGGGAGGCCACCAATAAGGAGGAACAGCAAGAACTGGCAAAAACAATGTATATAGTGGGAATATACAATTTTCATTTAAGTGTCCCAGCCATTAACATTTGATAAAGCATACCCAGGTGTGTGTATGTGCATGCACTTGTGTGGGGGTATGGAATAGAAAGAAAGCAAAAGAAAATGAACTTTCGTGTAGTTGATTTTACCCCTCCAAGAGCAACCCTTGGGATAGTCCAATGTATTCAAAACATCTATATTTTACTAGGAAATCCCATTCATAACTCTGATGGAATTGCCTAGTATGCCCACTATACCACCACACCTATGACCAGATAGGTGGTCTTTGTTGACCTGCACAAGCCTGGGCCAACAATGCTGGTATCTTCCCAGTGCTTTGCTCTGTTAAGGTTCTTCTTTATAATAAAATGAAGGTCAAAATGGTAGCCTGCTAAAAGCAGCAGTATTTCAATTGCAGGAATAACTTGCTTGTCATCAACTTGTTAATGCAATAGTCAAACATTTCTTTGACATGTACAGTATCAGCTAACTTCAGCAGATAAAGGGTCTAGAACAGGAAGATGCTGCAGATGCTTTAGCTTGGAGGAAGGCTTAACAGAGCCAAAACGTCAGCAGGGCCTGTTTGTTCCATACTTTCCGTCGGGCTCTGTGAAAGAAATGTTAGATTACTGCAATGACAAGTTTGTGACAAGCAAGTCATTTGTGCAACTGGTGCGCTCCTGTTTTTATCTGTTTACCATTCAGACTTGTGAATGCCATTTCAAGCACTCATAGGATTTCTGGCTCCCATTAAGGGGAAATGGTTCCTCCATGTTTAGAATTTTCTGCCTCAAAAAGAATTACTAAGCAATTATTTATCCATGTGGTCACAGGGTCACACAACAGCACTCTTGAGTTGTTTTGTTGGATTCTGAATCATGAAATGGAGTCCTGAACACTGGATGGCTTGGAGCATCAGAAATTTCTCATCTAGTTTACTGGAACAACTACAAAGCAAGCTTGTGAGAGTCAATAAAATTGTGGCCAGCTTGAAATACCTTGCTCTTTTGCTCTGGTATCATATATCAAGGCCATATGCTTCAAGGCACATAAACTCACTTGCAACAAGTAGATCCTGAGAGCTAAGGCCTGGCTAGGTTGCAGACACTGACATGTGATCTAACATATGATAGTTTTGGTGACAGGATGGCTTTGGCTGTTGAACAAGGAATTACAGATTTCTCCCTGTGTTATAAGGGTAATATTAAGGGGTCAATACAAATCCAGAAAGCATCTTAGCTGTGTAATAAAAATGAATATATAATATAAGAATAACACTTAGGATCATCCTCTCTAGGATGACTTTGTAAAATGAAGGGAAAGGAGACCTGGCAGGTTTGGAATCAAGAATTCAAGATTCTTGGGCTGGCATTTTAGCTCAGTGATAGAGCACTTGCCTCACACGCTTAAGGCCCTGGGTTTGATCCTCAGCACCACATAAACTAAATAAATAAAAATAAAGATATTGTGTCCATCTACAAACTAAAAAAAATAAATTAATTAAAAAAAGAATGTAAGATTCTTCATGTTAGGCCATCCAGTTTCTTTTGCTAAGTCATTTTAACCTCCTATGAGGCTAGAAAACAATAATACAATCCTTGTTCCCTGTTCACTTGACATGCATAGTCTCAGGGTTAGTGTCATAAAGGATAAAGAATATCTTTAGAACTTAAGAAACGTGCTCTTCAAATGTCATGTATTCCTTTTTGGATTTAAAATTTTTGTCTATTGTTGGTATTGAATTTGTAAATAATTCTAGATATAACAAAGAACATAGGAGCCAAGAGTTTTTGAAGCAGGGGCAGTATTGTCTGGGGAAGCAGGTCAAACTGGAACCCGAATGTGAAGAAACAGACAAAAAGCAGCAATGTAAGATGAGGCAGAGCTTTGAATGGATGATTAGAGAACATTACAGCAAAAACTAATAGTCCTTATTGAATAAAATTTTTATTGTTAATAATCCTTTGCCAGATACCACATGTGCTGCACAATCTACATGTGTAATTCAATCTTTTCACAACAGCTTTATGGTATATGCATTCTCATTTTTTTTCAAATGTGGGAACTAAAACTTAGGGATTTAAATACTTAACTATAAATATGTGAGTTGCATAGATTCAAAACTAGTTTTCCCTCACTCCAAAGCCCATATACTCTTAACCACTAAAGAACTAGAGTGATTTTTACTGCCTTCAGAAGCTTTTCTCTTGGATTTAAATGGAAAACATTTTAATTTGTAAATGTAGAAATTAAAGAATTGGATATAAAAAGGCCAGCAAGAAGAATCTGGCTCTATCTGTTTTGCCCTCCTTCTTAGGCCTCTGGAAAAGCTGAGCTTCAAGATGTCAGGCCTGATCCATTCCTCTCTAATGCCCTGGGGAAGGGGTAAAGTGACTCTAACCTGATCACAAATCTCTGTGCAGGATGTTGGAGGCATTGCCTGTGTCCACAACAACTCCCTCCTCCCTCTTCATGTGTATAGCATTAGTTTACCCTTCTCTTAATCCCCATGTTACCAAGAGCCTCCTTTTGTCACTTGTCTGCTATTCTTTTTAGGTGGTAGTGGTGGTGGTGAGGTGGACATCTTTCTTACCATGACAAGGACCCCTGAAACAGTCTAAACTTCAAACTTTGCACAGAATATATCCTTTGTTCAGTTTTCTTCTTTGTTTCTCTTTAATTATCATTAACCAATTTAATTGGTTATATTAATTATCTATAACCAATCACTTTGCCATCAGTCCCATTTTACAACTCAGAGTTATGCAAATCAAACTGGTAGGAAAGACTTTGCAGCTATCCCATCTTAAAATGAACATGTGCCCAAGTGGTGAAAACCTCTAAGTGAGGCATGTCTCCTAAATATT